CCTCTCCTCTCCTCTCTCTCCTCTCCTCTCTCCTCTCCTCTCCTCTCCTCTCCTCTCCTCTCCTCTCCTCTCCTCTCCTCTCCTCTCCTCTCTCTCGTCTCTCCTCTCCCCTCTCCCCGCTCCCTCCCTCTCCTTTCCTCTGCTCTCCTCTCCTCTCCCTCCCCCTCTCTCTTCTCCTCTCCTCGCCCCCCTTCTCCTCTCTCCTCTCTCCTCTCGCCCCCCATCCATGCCAGTGCCGCCCGTTGCGCCCCTTTTTCGCTCGGTTGTATTTCACGCTATTGGATAACCCTGCCGTCGCTGGCGGTCAGAATGTTGTTGTTGTTGTTTTTTCTCTCTCGCTCTCGTCTGTCGTGGGGCCTTTCTTCCTTATCCTCTGTTTTTTATCTCCCTCCCGGTCGCTCCTGGTCCTATTCGTGTCGCTCCATTTCTCTCTTTTCTCCTCTCTTCTCTTCGCTTCTTCTCCACTTCCTCTCCTCTCCAACCCTTTCTTCCTCTTTTCTCCTCTTCCTCCCCTTCCCTCCCCTCCTCCCTTTCCTCCTTCCCTCTCCTCCCCTCCCTCCCCTCCTCTCCTCTCCTTTCTTCCCCCCTCCCCTCCCCTCCCCCTCCCCTCCCCTCCCCTTCTCGTCTCAGCGCGTGTTTGTTGACCTTGGGGAATGGAAGGGGGAAGGGTGCGTTTGGGGTGGAGGTGGGGGGAAGGGGAAGGGGAAGGGGGGGGGAGGCGGGAGTAGGGGAAGGGAGGGGAGGGGGAGTAGAGGGAAGGGGTGAAGGGAGGGGGGGGAGGGAGGAGGGGGTGAAGGAGGGGGGGGAGGGAGTAGGGGTAAGTAGGCGATCCTGGTTCTGTCCATTCAGCTAATGGCTCTGAGGGAGGGCAGTCCGGCGCTTCACTTCCGCGTGGGAATCCTTCTCTGGGCTGAGGCGGTGGGCGTGCGTTCGGATTGGGAGTAGAGGGGTGTGTGGGGGGGGGGGGGGGTGAGAGTGTGTGTGTGTGTGTGTGTGGGGTGTGTGTGTGTGTGTGTGTGTGTGTGTGTGTGTGTGTGTGTGTGTGTGTGTGTGTGTGTGTGTGTGTGTGTGTGTGTGTGTGTGTGTGTGTGTGTGTGTGTGTGTGTGTGTGTGTGTGTGTGTGTGTGTGTGTGTGTGTGTGTGTGTGTGTGTGTGTGTGTGTGTGTGTGTGTGTGTGTGTGTGTGTGTGTGTGATTGAGTGAGGTGAGTGTGTTTGAGTATGTGTGCGTGTGTGTGTGAGTGCGCGCCTGTGAGTGTGTGTGTGTGTGTCTGTGACTGTGAGAGAGAGAGAGAGACAGACAGACAGAGACAGACAGACAGACCCGAGACACGACAGGTGATCGAACTCGCGTATTTAATCAAGGAACCAAGGGACGGGGCCCCGGAGGAGACGAAGGCGCCGCCCGATTCGGCATCCCCAGCGTCGGCGTCGGCGAAGCCCCTGGCCAAACGAAGCGGTGGACGCAGCGTGGGGGTCTGCGCCTTCATTCGCCGGAACTACTAATAGAGAACCAGGAAGATGAACAGCTGACTAATTATATAGAGCGAAGATGAACAGCTGATAGAGCGAACAGCTGATTATATAGAGCGAAGATGAACAGCTG